CCCGCCACACGCAGCCTGGCAGCAGGCCGGCGGGGAGGCTGCATGCATGCCGTAAATCCCGGAGCCCAAGGCGGGTTCGGCCCCCAGGGCCAGCCTGCCAGAGCCGTGTGCTGGGGGGCAGAGCGGTGGTTTGGGGCTGGACCGGAGTTTCTCTGGGACTGGGGGGGCTTGAGAGCAGAGCGGGGCCGAGCCTGGAGCCGGTGTGCCCGGGAGCGGCTCTGCAGGGAGGGGCCGGCTGGTTCTGGTTTGTTGGTGCCCTGTTATTGCAGCCCTGCTCCATGCCCACCTCTGCCTGTGTCTGTGTCCCAGCCTGCCCCTACCCAACCGGGGGGCATGGCGTGGTGCTGTGCAGGGCATTAGGCCGAGTCCCTGCAAACTCTGTTCCCTTGTGTGCCTTTTGTAGGGTCCCCTCCCCCAAAGTGGAAGGACAGGCAGGTCCAGAGCTGCTGGCTGCAGGAGCCACGTGTGCAGGCCAGGGGCTGGCACTTGGTGCCTGATTTTCTGGGGACGTGGAGTCTCCATCCCTCCCTGCCCAAGCTGCGATGCGAGCCCCCGTGCATTTCCCACGAGCCCGTTGCGGGAGCCCCTGGGAAGGGTGTGAGCAGCAGGTGGGGTGTTTACTCCTGCTCACATCCAGGCAGGGCCCGCCCCGAGCTTCACCCAGGCTGGTCTGTGGGATCTGGCTCTTTCAGAGACCCCAAATGAGAGCACGGGCAGCCCCAGGCCGCACGGACCGCGCCGTGTGCTGGTTGGCGGTCGGCCTGCGCCCCAGAGGTGGTTGCATTTCTGGGCTATTATCTGTTGGCTTTTGTGCAGCTTCTTGGGGGATGCTTTGGCAGGAAGGGCTCTGCAGAAACAGCCTGTTGTCGGAGGCAGTGACTTTGATGTCTCGGCTGTAACGAGCGCCGCCTGGCAAACGCTTTGAACCCTTTCTAAACAGGGGCTGGGCTCTGCGTCCGCCGAAATCGCAGCGTCTCGGGCCCTGCTGCCGTTGCAGGTGCCAAATCAGGCGGCGGTGCCAGGCAGGGCGCGGAGCAGGTGCTTTGCTTGGCTGCCTGGACCGGGCGATTGGATTTGACACGGCCGTAAGGTTGATGAACGCCTGACACGGTCTGAACCCGCGCGGAGAGGGTGGCCCGCAGGGGGAGCGGCTTCTGATTAGATTTAGCCACAGAATAAATGGCTTTCCGGAGCCAGGGCCCTGGCGAATGTCGCATTGGATGAGAGCTCTGTGCCTCGGCGCGCCATCCGCTGTGTGCACCCGGGTATCGAGAGCACCCGTCGATGCCCCCTTCTGCGGAGGGGCGTGCGGGGGAAATGCTCCAAGCTCTTTGCTTCTCCCCTGCCCTTCCCCAGAGCTTCATAATGGCTGTGCATGGTCCTCTCCCCTCACCGCACTCCCGGCTGCACCGCGTGTATAAAATATGCAGCAACTCTCGCTGGGCTTGGGGTTTCTTAATGCAGCTGGTTGGCGCGTGTGGCTAGGAGAGAGCGCCTGCTTCGCTGTTCTTCTGGAAAAGAAGTGAGACCAGAGGGCAGGCGTCTTCCTGCAGGCCCTGGATCCGGGGTGAGGTTTCACCCCGGCTGTTGTTAGACCCCCGAGTCCACTGGAGCAACTCCTGGCTCGGTGGGTGCTGGAGCCAGGGCTCTTCAGGGTTGCCTGGCTCGGCCAGGGCCTGTGCATGTTGGTCCGGTGGGTTTAGCTGATGCTGTGGGCTCAGACTGGCTCTTGCAAAGCTGCAGGCCAACAGGGTTGTCTGAAACCCATGGACGGCGTGCTACTCAGCCCGGGCCCTGCGTGCCCCCGACCCTGTTGCAGGTCACGAGGCCGGTTGAAGGTGCCCGGCGCGGAGAGCCCTGGGAAGGAAGCTAGCAGAGAGATGCGGGTTGGGGATTCAGGCGCGGTTGTTCGGGTTGTCTCCGGCGAGGTGAGGACAGCATCCTTCCGTAGGTGCCCGTACTCGCCACGTTGCGTCTCTGTACGCGGCACGGCTCTGCCTGGGTCCGGGCGCGATGCGTGCCGGGGGTGCAGCACCGTGAGAAGAGCAACAGGAGTTGGACGCGCCGAGCGCGAGGCAGAGGCTTGTCCCCGACTGCCCGCCCGCGTGCCGTGCTGCCGTGCTCTGCTGCCGGAGCCGGGGAAGAGGGGGAGGCTTCGCGGCCCTGCGTGCAGGGAGATGGCTGTCAATCAGGAGAGGCGCGCTTGCAAACGCTGGCAGCGGCTGCGACGGCTCATGTCAAACAAGCTCAGATCCAGCCGGGGTGGGAGGGCGCGTCTCCGTCGGCTCCTGGAGCTGCCCGCTCCGTCTCACGTTGGGGGAGCAGGTTCTCCGCGTCGTCCCCACTCCAGGTGAGCATTCGCGCCATGCGCTGGGATGCGGCGAGCTGCCTCCTGCAGATGCAACTGCAAGAGCTTCCTCTTTGACTGGGATCCCCCAGGTCTCCGGCCCTGCGGATCTCCCTGGCGTGACGGGCCGGAGGCCGGGGCTCAAGGTGCTTTTCAGGGAAGCCCACGTGCCGGTTGCAGAAGGACTCTGAGCCGGTGACAGGCAGCGAGCGCTGGCCAGGGCGGGAGTGGAGGAAAGTGATGCGCCGGCAGTTTCCACGGCAGAGATTTCGCTGGCTCTGCACAAGAGGCGGGGGCCAAGCCCTGCGCTGGGCCCGGGCTGGGCTGGGCTGGGCTTTCCCGGAGCTCTGCTGTGCATCCCTCCAGCTCGCATGTTTCCCCAAGCGTCACCGAGCCCTGCCAGGTGACCCGTGCCGGGGAAGGACCTCCTGCCCCAGGCCTGGGGCAGGGGGTGAGGACGCCCTGCCCCACGTGGAGGGCAGCAGGGGCCTTGCCCGCT